TTTCTCATGTGTTTCTTTGCCATTCTTAATCTTCTGAGAAGTTTCTTCTTAACTCCTTTACCCATTTAGTAATTGGTGTATTAAGCTTGGGAGGAGTTAATTTCTTGAGCTCCTTGTAATACATTGGCTATTAGGCCTTTGTCTGTTGTATTGATGGTAAAGATCTTTTCCCAATTGGTTGGCTGTCATTCTAGTTTAGTAGTTATGTCCTTAGCTGTATAGAAACTTTATTTTAATGTAGTCGGACTTGTCAAGTCTCTCTCCTATCTGTTGTGTCCCTGGAACTCTATTCAGGGAGTTTCTACGTGTACCTGCACGTTCTGTCTCTCCTACTCTCTCTTGTAGTATTGTCAGAGTTCCAGGTCTGATGTTGAGGTATTTGGTCCACTTTGAATTCATGTTAATGCATGGTGACAAGCAGGTATCCACTTTTAGTTTTCTGCATATGGCTGCCCAGTTTTCCCAGCAGCAATAGTTGAAGAGGCTATGTTTTTTCCACTGTATATCTTTGGCTTGTTTGTCAAATATCAGATGACTATAAGTATGTGTTTTTTGGATTTTTGGGTCTTCTAATCTGCTCCATTGATCTTCAGGTTTATTTTTGTGCCAATACCAAGCTATTTTTGTTATTATGGCTCTGCAGTAGAGTTTCTTCAGCCCTTTTGGCTTTCATTAATTTTTGCATAAAGTCTTACATTTATTCAATTTATTTTTTATTTTTTCCAGTCCTAGGTTTGAATTCAGGGCCTGGATGCTGTCCCTGAGCTTCTTTTACTCAAGGCTAGCACTCTACCACTTCAGCCACAGCACCACTTTCAGCTTTTTCTGTGTATGTGGTACTGAGGAATCAAACCCAGGGCTTCATGCATGCTAGGCAAGCACTTTGCCACTAAGCCACATTCCCAGCTACATTTATTCAATTTATGCTTTCATTATTTTTTTAAAAAATAAAGTCTCATATTTATTCCCTAGCTAGCCTGGACAGTAATCCTCCCATTTATGTTTTCCATGTAGCTAGAATGCCAGACACCACTGTGTCCAGCTATTGGCTCGGAAGGAGGTCTCCTTCACTCTTGATCATGGTCTTCCCAATCTGAATCTCCCCAAATAACCACCACACCTGACGGGTTATTTTCTTAGACCACAATTGGTCCCAGACATGGACAAGAAACCTGGCTATTGCTAAGGAAATTCTAGCCAGGACTTTCACCAGAAATACTGAGCAAGAAAAGCAGCCAAGATGGGCCCACTCTGCCATTACAGAATGGAGCCAAAACATAGAGCCCAGAGCCCAGACCCACAGAGAGAAAGAAAGCCTTTGAGTCTCCAGGTGCCTTCACCTAGGTGAGCATTCTTTTTGGTCAGTTGTGGGGCTTGAACTCTGGGCCTGGGCGCTGTCCCTGAGCTCTTCAGCTCAAGCACACTACCACTTGAGCCTCAGCGCCACTTCAGTTTTCTGGTGGTTAATTGGAGATAAGAGTCTCACGGACTTTCCTGCCTGGGCTGGCTTTGAACCATGATCCTCAGATCCCAGCCTCTTGAGTAGCTGGGACTACAGGTGTGAGCCACCAGTGCCTGGGTTGGGTGAGTGTTTTTTTATCCTGCAAGTTGGTAAGATGAATTGACATTGCTTTTGAATATGTGTCTGCACCTACGTTTGAAAGAATGCTAGTGGCTGGTTCTCCCTCTCTCATTCCCAAATATCTACCATCTATTTCTTTTTTCCGTTTCCTTTTCCTTTTTTTTTTTTTTTTTCTTGTGCCAATCCTGGGGCTTGAACTCAGGGCTTGGGCATGGTCCCTGAACATTTTTTTTCCTCAAAGTTAGTACTCTACCACTTGAGCCAGAACACCACTTCTGGCCTTTTGCTATTAATTTGAGATGTGCCTCACAGAGCTGGCGCTGGTGGCTCACGCCTGTAATCCTAACTACTCAGGAGGCTGAGATCTGAGGATTGTGGTTCAAAGCTAGCTGGGCAGAGAAGTCCCCATCAGATTCTTATCTCCAGTTAACCACTAAAAACTGTTAGTGGAGTTGTGGCTCAGAGTGGTAAAGCACCAGCCTTGAACAAAAAGGTTTAGGCACAGTGCCCAGGCCCTGAGTTCAAACTCTACAACAGGCAAAAAAAAAAAAAAGCCTCACAGACTTTCCTGCCCAGGCTGACTTCTTGAGTAGCTAGGATTGAGCCACCAGTGCCCAGCCCATCATCTAAACATAATAAACTGGGCTGAGAACGTGGCTCAGTGGTAGAGTGCTTGCCTAGCATGCATGAAGCCCTGGGTTCGATTCCTCAGCACCACATAAACAGAAAAAGCTGAAAGTGGTGCTATGGCTGAAATAGTAGAGTGCTAGCCTTGAGCAAAAAAAAGCTCAGGGGCAGGTCCCAGGCCCTGAATTCAAGCCCCAAGACTGGCAAAATAATACTAATACTAATACTACTACAATAAGCTGTATCTCTCTAAGGCCTGGCTCACAGATGTGTTGTCTTCTTCTGCTAGCTGCCTCTTGGTACAACACTAGGGAAAGCTAGGTGTGGTTGTACATACCTGTAATCTCAGCACTCAGTAGTCAGAGGCAGGAGGACCGAGGGAGTCAAGGCCAACTTGGGGTATAGAGAGAGATTTTACCTCAGTTGTTTTTTTTTCAAAACGGAGACAATCGGTAATAAAGAGGGAGAGAGGGGAACTGAGAGAAATAACAACGACCATTTATTCAAGTGAGAACACCTCACACAAAACCACAGAGGGAAGGGCCTGTTTGCTAATATTGCTCAAGACAGTTGGAGGCCTTGGAGGGCTTGATGGTCACCTCCCAGAGACAGGTGCTGCTGTCTGAAAGAGTCCAGCCAGGGAGCAACACCTTGGATGAGGGTCCCTCCAATTCCCTGGGGGTTAATGGTGCTCCTCATCTGGTGTAGAGCAGTAGAATTACATTCTTTTTGTTTTTGTTTTTGCCAGCCCTGGGCTTGAACTCAGGGCCTGGGCACTGTCCCTGAGCTTCTTTTTGCTCAAGGTCTACTACTTGAGCCACAGTGCCACTTCTGGCTTTTTCTGTGTATGTGGTACTGAGGAATCGAACCTAGGGCTTCATGCATGCTAGGCAGGCACGCTACCACTAGGCCACATTCTCAGCCCGAATTACATTCTTTTAAAGATGAGAAAAACTGGGAGCTGGTGCCTCACACCTATAATCCTAACTACTCAGGAGGCTGAGATCTGAGGATGGCATACAAATCCACAAGGCTCTTAGCTCCCATTAATCAGCAAAAAGCTAAAAGTGGAACTGGAGCTCAAGTAGCAGAGCTCTAGGTGTGGAGCAAAAAGAAAAACTACTCAGGGACAGCACCCAGACCCCGAGTTCCAGCTCCAGTACAAGCACTAAAAAATAAATGAACAAACAAATATGTAAGAAAGAAATCTCCTTCCTGTACCAGCACCACCTCAGCCTAGGACAACCTTTGGTCTTTCTTCTCCTTCATTCTTGCTTTGTATCTACACCCCCAAAAAACCAGACCAAAGGCCATTACATATTTGTTTAGCAGTGTCAAAATGTTGTCTGCCTTGTTCTCCAACATCCCTTCTGTAAAGGTTGACAAGTTTATTTCAGAGGTTTTTGTTTAGCTGGGAGTCAAGTTTCCTGAATCTCTTTATCTCAAGCAAAGGACCCAGTAATCAGGGAATAAAAAACCCAAAGATTTCAAGAGGCAAAGCAACAAGCTGGCAATTTACTCTTGGAGTATGTGGGTGGTTGTGTGTTTAAATTTAGAAAGGACAAAAAGGCTTTGCTGAGACATTGATAGCTTCTTCCTTGAGTATTTGTACCAGATTCCCTTTGTATGCCAACTGCAAAGATTACCAAAGCCAAATTCCCTCTTGGCTTATCTACTGAAATCATACTTTGTATAGTCAAAAAAAAATCAGTAATTGGGGCTGGGAATGATAAGTGGTAGAGTGCTTGCCTAGCATGCATGAAGCCCTGGGTTCAATTCCTCAGTAGTACATGAACAGAAAAAGCTGGAAGTGGCGCTGTGGTTCAAGTAGTAGAGTACTATCTTTGAGCAAAAGAAGCCCAGGGACAGTGCCCAGGCCCTGAGTTCAAGCCCCAGGATTAGCAAAAATAAAAATAAAAATCAGAAATTGCTGGATGCCAGTGCTCCTTCCTGTAATCCCAGCTATTCAGGAGACTGAGGTCCGAGGATCGTAATTCAAAGTCAGTCAGGGCAGGAAAATCCATGAGACTTTTTATCTACAATTAACCATCAAAAAGCTGGAAGTGGAGCTGTGGCTCGAGTCATAAAGCTCCCGCCTTGAGCAAAAACAAGCTAAGAGACAGCGCTCAGGTCCTGAGTTCAAATCCCAGTACTGGCAGAAAAACAAAAATCAGAAATCATTTTGAAAGAAAGGTTCTCCCTTTGACTTAGCTGAGACCAGGTGAGCACTGGGGGCTTCCTCGGGGCTTGGTGGTGGAGACCGAGGTCAGCCTGTCAGGACTCAGGTAAGTGGGCAGAGGGGGCTTGAGATGGCGCTGCAAGGGTACCACAGCCCGGGGCGGGGTCTCAAAGCCCCACGACCTTCCCCGCGCGCTCGGGACTCTCGCATTGCCTTAATTAGGACGCTGGCCTCTCCTTGGTGCACTTCTCCGGCTTGGGCCTCGGCTGGGCTTCGGAAGGTGGACTCAGGACTCGCCCAGCAGGCCTCCCTGCCTCCACCTGGGTCAGGGGTGAGGCCCAGGCCCATGTACCTAAACACACTAGTCTGCAAAACAAGGCCGTAGCATTTCTGCAGAGCGGGGCTGTGGATGCGTACACTCAGCCCTGGCCCGCTCTGACGGGAGAACAAATGTCCAGCATCACTGGCCGGAAGGAAGATCAGGCCGCTCCACACAGGCTTTCCCCGCGGCAGCCCGGAACCCGAGGCGCCCGGGGAGCGGGAGCCACACGGACCCGGCACTCGGAGGACGGAACCGGAAGTTCCGGGGCCGGAGGGCGGGGGCTACGGCGGGGCGCGCGCTGGGCGGCTTCCGGCTCAGGTGCGGGAGGCGCGGGCCTCGGGGTCCCGGCTACGGCGGACGCGGGTTCGGTGGGTGCCCCATTTAGGTACCTGCGGGCCTTCTGCGTCATGGGGTCCCCACACCTCGGAAGCATGCAGCTCCCCCAAACTGAGGATCCAGAATTGAGGGCGGCGGGGTGCGGGACCCGGCGGGCAAGGAGCGGTTGGGCTGGACGCTCAACCTTCTGGAAAGTTCCAGGCCAAGTCGGTATGGGCGTGCACTTCTGTGGCCCAGACAGACTGGCCTCGAACTCTCGATCCTCCTGCCTCAGCCTCCCCAGGGCCGGGATTATAGGCGTGCACTACCACACTTGCCCGACACCTGGTTTTTTTCAATGGGCCTGGCTGGTGTTTCTGATTTAGAGCCCCCCACAAATGATCATCTGACATTGCTCGACTCACCTCTAATTCTTCGTCTTCAAATTAAGCCGACACTTCAGAACCGGACCATGGAAGGCCAACCCCTGGTGGTGTCCAAGCAGAAGACGGAAGTGGTCTGCGGGGTCTCCACGCAGGTGGTCTGCACCGCCTTTAGCAGCCACATCCTGGTGGTGGTGACTCAGTTCGGGAAGATGGGGACATTGGTCTCCCTGGAGCCCAGCAACGGGGCCAGCGACATCAGCAAGCCACTGCTCACCACCAAAGTCCTCCTCGGGCCAGACGAGGTAAAGAGGTGGGGAAGGGCCGTGGGAAGGCTGGAAGGCCTCTGGTCTGTGGTCCCTAGGCTCAGATTAGAGCTGATGGGGGGTGTTACACGGAAGGTGTCAGGGGTTTAAATGCAACATGCTGGTCACTGTGTTTATGCCTGCTGTGTGGGGTGCATGGTTGGGCTCTGTCCCATACCCACCCAATGGTTTAGTGGTGGAGTGGGAAGCCAGCTGGGTCCCTGGGAAGCTGTAAGCAGAATGTCAGGGGTAGGGGCGTGGCGCAGGGGGTGGAGCACCTGCCTGGTGAGCAGGAGGCCATGAGTTCAAACCCCAGTACTGCTGGAAAGAGAAAATGGAGTGTCACAGCAGTGTCTCCTCCCCCGTTGTTCCCTTAGCCCCTCATCCACGTCTTCGCCAAGAACCTGGTTGCATTTGTGTCTCAAGAAGCAGGGAACAAAGCAGTCCTCCTGGCCATGGCCGTGAAAGACAAGAGCATGGAGGGGCTGAAGGCCTTGAAGGAGGTGATCCGGGAGTGCCAGGTGTGGTGAGCAGAGTGGAGCCAGGCAGGGGAGCTCACTCTCCTCCACAGGTCATGGAGACCCCAGCTGTGGGTGCTGGCACCGTATGGAGCAGGAGCTTTGTGTGGCAGCCTTTTGCCCTTGGATCCAGAAGAAACAGTACTGCCTGGGCAGGCGCTGGCTGCCCGGTGACCATGGCGATGGGTGGCGGCCACGCCTGGGGCATTGGACATGGAGTGGTGGCTCTCGTGGCTACATGTGTTCCATGGAAAGCTCAAGGCCGTTCATGACTCACAACCCTGTGTGCAGTAGCACTTGGGATATATATATATTTTTTTTTTTTTAATAGAAAATAAATATGGATTTCTAAAATCCTTCCTTGGCCTTAGTAACCCTGAAATGTGGCCATCATGGGGGGCGTGGCTGCAAAAGCAAAATAGAAGTCCAGCTGCCTGGATGGGTGGAGTCCCAGCACTGGTCCCACCCACCGCCTGGACAGGGCGAGTCCAGCTGGCTTCTGCCCGCTGGCACCTCACTCATGAACCCCACTTCTGATGAGCTGGCTGTGGACCTGTCCCTGCCACTTCCTGTGCAGTACACAGCCCAGGCCTTGAGAACCCCGTTGGGGGGGAAGGGGGACGCATCCATGGAAGGAGCAGCGTGCAGAAGATCAGGTGCAGGACAGGCTTGGTGCAGGCAGCACCACAGGGGCCTTGCCAAGGCACGGCTGGGCGTGACGTCCATGCTGAGGGGCAGGTGGCAGAGGGCTTGCATGTTGAGACAGCTGGATGATCCTGAGCTCAGCAGGGAGCTGGAAAGGTTCTGAGTCAAGTTAAATCTGCCCCTTTTTTGTTTTTGTTGGTACTGGAATTTGAACTCAGGGCCTTGCCCTTGGCGTTCTACCACTTGAATCATACCTCAACCCTGTTTGGTTTGGTTCTTTTTTTAAATAGAGTCTCACATTTATACTTAGGCTGTCTCAGACTGTGATTCTTCTATTTGTGTCTCCCACATAGCTGAGTGATAGACACGCGCTACCTGTCTTGTTGATTAAAATGAGGTCTTGCTAAGGTTTTTGTTCAGACTGGCCTCAAACTGCAGTCCTGATCTCTGCTGCCTCAGGAGCTGGAATTACAGTCATGGGTCACTCAACCTAATGTGAACCTGCACTTCAGAAATACTTTCCATCGGGCTGGGAATGAAGTTCAGTGGTAGAGTGCTTGCCTTGCATACATGAAGCCCTGGATCTGATTCCTCAGTACCACATAAGCAGAAAAAGCCAGAAGTGGTGCTGTGGCTTAAGTGGTAGAGTGCTAGCCTTGAGCTGAAGACCTGAGGGATAGCGCCCAGGCCCAGTTCAAGCCCCACGACTGACAAAAAAAAAAAAAAGAAATACTCCCCATAGCTGGACGCTGGTGGCTCACGCCTGTAATACTAGCCACTCAGGAGGCTGAGATCTGAGGATCACAGTTCAAACCAGCCCTTTCAATGTCCACCAGAAAACTGAAAGTGGTGCTGTGGCTCAAGTGAAGGAGGACTAGCCTTGAGCTGAATTGCTCAGGGACAGCACCCAGGCCCAGAGTTCAAGCCCCATGACCGACAACAACAACAACAAAAAATACTCCCCATACATGTCAGCAAGATCTGGTTGGAGCCAGGGTCAGATTTGTCTCCTCACGGTGAGCCTGTGGGGGGCTGGGCCTCTGCAGAGCAGCAGACTGGCTCTCCCGCATGCCTCAGCCAGGGACACCCCCTCCCATATAGTACCCCCAGGGCTCACCCTAGCAGCTGTCACCTTTTACAGGACTTGGACCCAGGAAGAAGGGAAGGTCGGGAGCAGGGTTCATAGCGCTCCCAGAGGAGAAGAAGGCAATGATGGTGACCATGGCCTGGGGCTGGGGGCCACCCGCAGGGGACCAGCTTGAATGAATGCTTTACCGAGGGACGGGGTAAGGCCTGTCTGTGTCTCCTGTCAGCCTATAATTATTCACCATCTGATGATCAGGATTTCGTCTGCAAAGCCGAGGTTCCCCTAGCTTACTAGGTGGGGAAACCAAGTTAGCAGGACTCAAATCCAAGTCCAAGTTCAGGTATTCAGCATCAGTTTAATCTAATTCTACATGGGTGCTGTGATCCAACCAGCTCCCACGCACGCTGTGACCTGCTTGGCCTTTGCCACCACTGCTCCTCACAACTAGGCTTCAGATGGAGAAACTGAGGCTCGCAGAGGTCACACAGTACTCCCAAGCAGAGGACCTGGGATTGGAGCTCATCAGCAGCTTGTCTCTCACTCATTGCCCCGGTCCATGCCAGGGACAGCTACAGAAGGTCACAGTCCACACAGCACCATGTTCGGTCCAGGCCCTGGTAATGGTCCAGCCTTTATTTGGGGACTACTAAGAGCCAGATCTGGTGGGCCTGGGCCACCTCCCTGGGTCCCCAGTCTAGGCAGGTGGTGCAGGCACTTAAGGCCCAGGAACATGGAGGCATTGGCCTAGAGATGCCCCAGGGCAGGTGGTGGCCCAGGACGGCAATGGGCAGCTTTGCCCTGTGGTATTTACCTGGCCCCACAGCCCTGAGGCTGCCAGCCTGCAAGGTAGCACTGAAACTGACCTGCCGATGAACCCAGGCTCCGAGGGCTATAAGTCACACTAAATTACATCTGCCCAAAGCTGTTCCTTAGCTGTAGAAATAAAATTAGACTGCCCGGGCTGTGGTGGCTCACGCCTGTAATCCCAGCTACTCAAGAGGCTGAGATCTGAGGCTCGCAGTTCAAAGCCAGCCCAGTCAGGAAAGTCCATGAGACTTTTTTTTTTTTTTTTTTTTTAACCAGTCCTGAGGCTTGAACTCAGGTCCTGGGCACTGTCCTTGAACTTGTTTTACTCAAGGCTAGCACTCTGCCACTTGAGCCTCAGCACTACTTCCAGCTTTTTCTGTTTATGTGTACTGAGGAATGGAACCCAGGGATTCATGCATGCTAGGCAAGCACTCTAAAACTAAGCCACATTCCTAGCCTTTTTTCTTTTTGTCTGGGGGGTGGGGGTGGGAGGTAAGGATAGGGGTGGAGGTGAGGAGGGGAGAGGGCTTGAATTCAGGGCCTGGCATTGTCCCTGAGCTCTTTCATTCAAGGCTAGCACTTGAACCACTTGAGCCACAGGGCCACTTGCAGTTTTCTGGTGGTTAATTTTAGATAAGAGTCTCACAAACTTACCTGCTTGGGCTCCCTTTGAACCGTGATCCTCAGATTTCAGCCCCCTGAATAACTGGGATTATAGATTAGAGCCACCAGCACCTGGCTGTGAAACTCATCTCCAATTAATCAGCAAAAAGTAGAGCTGTGACTCAAGTGGTAGAATGCTAGCCTTGACAAAAAAGTTCAGGGACAGCATCCAGGCCCTGAGTTGAAGCCCTAGGACACACACACACACACACACACACACACACAAGCCAGGACAGCATCCAGGCCCTGAGTTGAAGCCCTAAGACACACGCACACGCACACACATCCAGGCCCTGAATTGAAGCCCTAGGACACATACACCAAGCCAGGACAGCATCTAGACCCTGAGTTGAAGCCCTAGGACACACACACACACCCAAGCAGGCAGCAATGGCTCACACCTGTAGTTCTAGCCACTTGAGATCAAGAGGGTAGACATTCAAGGCTAGCCTAGGCAGAAATGTCTATGACACTCTTATCTCCAGTTAACTAGGAAATGCTGGTCTGGAGATGTGGGTTCAAGTGGTAGAACAGGGGCTGAGAATGTGGCTTAGTGGTAGAATGCTTGCCCAGCATGTATGAAGCCCTTGGTTTGATTCCTCAGTACCACATTAAAAAAAAAAAAAATTGGTAGCAAGACCCTGAGTTCAGACCCTGTTGCCAAGCCCAACATGCTGGTGTCTGGGAAGGGGCCCTGGGAAAGACAGAAGCCAGGACAGAAGGAAAGGCGGGAGTCAGGCACTTCACAGACCCTGCCCTGCCACCTGCCACCTCTGCCCTCCTCCAGCACTCCACGGCCACTGGAAAAACTGGTGTTACACGTGGGGTCCTTGCCAAGGCCTACACCTCCAGCTGCTTCCAGAGATCCACCCTGCCGCCCACCCCACAGCCTGGAAGCCCTGGTGCTCAGCCCACCGAAGGCACTGGGCAGTCACATGAGCCCTGTGGCCCAAGCTGGACAGGCATCTTACCCTGAGCCTCCAGATCCCAAACAGGCAAAGGAGGAAGAGGAGCCTCATAGAGGCAAGGCTGCAGGACATCACCCCCTCCCCACCCCGCTTCACCCCGGTGTGTGAGTGACTGGGCCCAGGGCCGAATGCTGAGCCCCTCACCCAGGGCCACAAATCCATTCTGACCTCTGCCACTGTAAGGCACGAGCAGGAGGCCCCTGGGGTTAGGCAGGGAAGGAATGACAGTCCCCAGAATCTGGGCCTGGGGATGGCAGAGGGTGTGGTGGGGGCGTGGTTTGGTGGGGCTGAATGGGAGGAGCTCCTGGCTGGGCCTGGGCAGGGCCAGCCCTCAGCAGCAAGTGTCTGAGGGACCCAGGCTATTCCAAGGCTGGCTAGTGAGGGCTAGGGACACACCGTGGTGGCCCTCCTTTGGCCCCTCTCCCAGGCCCAAAGGCTCTGGACCTGTCCTGTCTGGAAAACCAAGCTGCCCAGTGAATCCTGCCAGTGGCCTGGAGCCCCCAGCGAGGTGAGTTAGGGTATGAGCATGTCTGGGGGGCTTTACATGGGACCCATGTCCATGCTGGGACCCTGCAACTCCAGCAGGGGGAGTGGAATCCTGGATTTAAATTTCTTTTTAATCTGGGCATTCAACTCCTCGCCGCCCCCAGCTCTCTCTGGGGGGCCTTAGGGAGCCACTGATTCCCACCGAAGGGCCCACGCTCTGGCCGGGTGGCACCCATGTCCTGGTAGAAAGTCCCAGGCCCACACCCAAGGCTGGCAGCATGCTGTGGGGCAGAGGCGGGCAGAGGCAGGCCTTGGCAGGTTCTCTGTGGAGCTGGAGGGAGGGCCCGCCGACTAGACTGGAGAGCCCAGCGGTCCCGTGTCACCACGCTGGCCTGCACTTGGTCTGGGGCCACTGGGTACAAACAGAGCCATTAGTACAAGGGCCAGAAGCCAAGAGAGACCACCCAGACTTCCCTGGTCTGCCAGACACCAGACACCTGGGCTCTGAGTCACAGGGGTCCCTGCTGGCACCTGTACCCCAGAATCCTTCAGACACCAGGAAGACAGCAGGTGACAGCCAACCTTGTCTCTGTCCTGATCTGCCCAGCCACACATGGAGGCTTAGATTGCCTGGGGAAACTGAGGCATGGGTTGGTGTAGAGGATGCCCAAGTCCCAGGGTCCTTCCTTCCCC